GCCCTAAGCCCTAAACCCTAAACCCTAAACCCTAAACCCTAAACCTAGGGTTGAGGGTTGAAAGTCATTGCGCTTGACATCCTCCGAATCTGCTGGGCGCCAGCTCCGTTTCACAAACCCAGATGCGGTTGATGGTTAATGTGCCGCATCGTCTCGGCAAAAGGATGGGAGGGCCTGGTGTTTAGGGTTTAGGGTTTAGGGTTTAGGGCTAGAGGGTAGAGGGTTTAGGGTTTAGGGTTTAGGGTGTAGGGTGTAGGGTTCTAGGTTCGCTTATACGGGTAGCTCACAAAAAGGGTACCATTGTCAGAACATGGTTGCTGGGCTGCCGAAGGCCCTGCTATGCAATTCCCGCTTTATGTCATGAAGCCCTAAACCCTAAGCCCTAAACCCTAAACCCTAAGCCCTAAGCCCTAAGCCTTAACCCTGCGGGCTTCCGAGGAGTGTTGTGTGTGCCCCCGCGACCCTAAACCCTGTGCCCTAAGCCCCCCTAAGCCCTGAAACCCTCAACCCTGGACCCTAAACCCTAAGCCCCAAACCCTAAGCCCCAAGCCCCAAACCCTAAACCCTAAACCCTAAACCCTAAACCCCAAACCCCAAACCCTATAAACCCAAAATCCTAATCCCTAAAACTGAAGCCCAGGAGCCCATTGCCTTAAACCTTGTATGACCCCAAGAGCACTGCGCAAGACCCCAAACTCTTCTCCCACCCCCCGTGGCTCCTTGTAGGGTTTAGGGTTTAGGGTTAGGGTTTAGGGTTTAGGGTTTAGGGTTTAGGGTTTAGGGTTTAGGGTTTAGGGTTTAGGGTTTAGGGTTTAGGGTTTAGGGTTTAGGGTTTAGGGTTTATAAGGTTTAGGGTTTAGGGTTTAGGGCTTGTATAGTGTTTAGGGTTTAGGGTTTGTTTTTAGGGCTTAGGGCTCTAGGGTTTCGGGTTCAGGAGCCTACAACCCCAACTCCTGCACTCGCCGAAAGCCTGCAGTAGGAAGCCTTAAGCTGAGAGATGAACTGGCACGCGCAGAAAAGCCGCCCTGAACTCTATAAACCCTATACCCTAGACCCCCTACATCCTCAACCCTCAACCCTCAACCCTCAACCCTCAACCCTCAACCCTCAACCCTCAACCCTCAACCCTCAACCCTCAACCCTCAACCCTCAACCCTCAACGCTCAACCCAATTAAGCCCTAAAGCCTCTGAACCCCAGTTTGAAGTTTGGTGCGGGAGGAACGGGAGCGGCTGAGGGTTCTGGCCGAGGCGCAGTGGCCGCTGAGGTGTCGTTTTCGAGGATTTGTTTAGGGTTTAGGGTTGAGGGTTTAGGGTTTAGGGGGTTTAGGGTTAGGGCTTAGGGGGTGTTCGGAGTTTAGGGTCCAGGGTGCCCCTTTCCGGTTGAGTTTTGCTGGTTCGCAGGCTTTGGGGTTTTGGGTTTACTTCGGGCTTACAGGGCTTACGGGGTTTGTAGGGTTTACGGGGTTTATGGGGTTTGTAGGGTTTAACGGGCTCATGGGGTTTATAGGGTTTATTGGGTTCACAGGGTTCATAGGGTTTGCAGGGTTGTTGGGTTTGGCTGAGTTTTGAGGCTGTGTAGGGTCTACAGTAATTATCGGGCTTTGTGGGTCTGAGGGTATTTAGGGCTTTGGCTAGTAGGGTTTAGGAACTTCATATGAGTTACCGACAAACCCCACCCCCAAACTAGCCTTGAGGTCCAAGTATGTATATGCATATATATATATATATATATACATAAATAAATATCAAAAAATATATATATATATATATATACATAAATATATATATATATATATGTATACATACAGAGATATATATATATATATATTGAGGTACATGTTACATGAACCCTTAGGGACCGAGAAGGGCCCGAGTGCCACATGAATCCCAACTCTGAACTCCCTTCCCCCAGCTTCCTGCAGCCTACGCCCCTGGATTCAACCCCAAAGTGGTTTAGGGTTTAGGGTTTAGGGTTTAGGGTTTAGGGTTCATGCGATCCCGCCCGCACAGATCCGCAATGACGAGCTCAGTGGGGCTGAGGCCATTGCGGCGCTAGCGTCCATGCTTGAGAAGTCCGGAAACCCTAAACCCTAAACCCTAAACCCTAAATCTTTCAAAAACTATAGCCCCATGGCCTGAGGGCCCATGGTCAACCTGAGCTCGAAACATTAGGAACCCGAAGCCTAGCGACCATAGCCTTGTCAGTTCTCAAAACTGAGTCGCTCGAACCCTAGGCCCTTCAAACCAAAAGGGGCACTAGGTTACTCTTGGGTCTAGGAACACAAGCTTTGGGCTGTTCACCCTCTCCGCATGTTGGAGCCACGGGAGTTAGAGAGTCTTTTGATACATATCTGCTTTCACGAGTCGGCGACTAGGGTTGTAGCTTGGAGAAGTATAGGGTATAGAGATACAGGGTAGTATAGTAGTGGTTGGGGAGGTTATAAGGATTGGGCAAGGTTGCTATTGCAGTTTGCAATAAGTTGCGTTTTTGGCAAGAGTTAGCCCTACTCCGTATAGACCCTATTGGGAGATGCGTGTATCAGTTTTAGCTGCATGCTATAAAGATACGAACAGTTTACAGGGGTTCACGGCCAAGGAGCGGATTCAACCGAGGGACTAGGATTGCCGGGATCGGCCTTCTTTGGTGCCCAAGAGTGCATTGAGCTGCACGTCTGGGAATTTGTTTGTCCTTGTAGCAAAGTGGGTGTTAGGTGCTCCTGTGCTTCTGTTGCCGGGTTGGTATGCTTAAACAATGTGAGCAAGCCATGCTCGCCTGTCCGGGTACATTAATGGCTAGCCCTAAACCCTAAACCCTACACCCTAAGCCCTAAGCCCTAAACCCTAAACCCCACACCCTAAACCCTAAACCCTAAACCCTAAACCGCACATGCCGATCTCTTCAGCATCCTGTGCTCCCAACACACGAGAAAGCCATGGAGTGTACGCGCACAAATGCTTGGACTTGGATTGTGTTCATGACCTGCGCAAAAGCTGTACTTTTCAGCTGGGACACAGGAGCGACATGCAACTACCGTCCTTGTAGGTTGGTTTCAACTCCTGACCCAAGCTTTCCTGTTCGGAGTGAGGTTTAGGGAATCAGGAATCAGCCAGTTTTCCTATATAGCCCTGTCAAAGGAACCATAGACGATGGGTTCGTCAGTAAGTATTTACCTAATGCTTTACCAAGATCCAGGAGGTAGCAGAAATCTCTTGCTTCCTGCCAGTTGCTCATCCACGTTGCAACTCATTGACCTGGGTGGCCGTTCATCCAAGAATGGTTTCTGGTAGCTTGAGGTTAACGGTTTTATGGGTTCTATGATCTTGCGGGAATCAGATTGCAGCAATCCAAGCACTCCCCGGACCATGGAATGTCCGACGCGGGTGGCTCGCGGCGCGGCTCGCGCAGCTCTTTGGGTGCGCAGGCGCCTGCGGCTTGGTGGACTGCGGGGGGGGGGGGGGGGGTTAGGGTTTAGGCTTCTGGGGTTTTGGGGCTTATAGGGCAAGTGCAGGGTGGCCTAACTATAAGGGGCCTCTGAAACCATGTTGTCAATAGATTGAGTGGAGGCCGTTTGTGTGCCATACCCTAAGCTCTGGTTTATTAGCTAGAAGGCTTATGGGGTATAATGAGTGCACGTGATTGAAACGAACAAGCGAATACGACAACAGAAAATCAGAAAATAATCATGTCGTGTCAAGATACGACCATATTAGATAGTTGTCTACTGGACATGGACCGCCTATCCAAATAGCAGAAAGTGAAAGAAACTGCTGGACGTCTGAATCATACATCAAACAGAATGAACGACATTGAAAGACGTCTCATAGAGTAATAGGATGAGGATAGAAGTAAATAACAGAGCGAATCCTGAATTCTTATTTTGTACAGCTTTTAACATAGCACATTGGCATAAGAAATGCCATTCAGGTACGGTACTGGCGATGGGGGTCACTTGACCAGATGACTCAATATTATAGGGGGTCTCCGCGCTAGTTCCTGGCTTATGATTCCAAGGTGTTCACGGTTATAGCAGGAAAACCTGATGTTGGGGTGCCGAGGGTGGGTTCCTTGTCAGCAGTGTTTCTTGCTGCTGGAGTTGGTCGCATGATACAATCAGGCATTAGAAAGTTGCACGCGGAAATATCATCATGTGCCCGTGTTTACAGGCCTTACAAATGCAGTGAATCATATAAGCATATATGAATGTACAGTAAGACACGGGCGAATTTTAGCGTATTTTGGTTGTGGGCCTATTCTCAGAGGTACGCGATTGAATTATATTAGTATTTCTTGTGGGTTTATTGCGAGACTAGCAGAATATTTTTTGAAAAGGAAAACCCCAGAAATACCATAATGTTTCATGTGAGGTTCCTTGGCTGGCTCGCTGACCGTTCAAAGACTCTTAAAAGTACCATATTACTGAGGGGTTTTCAATCACTCCGTTTGTATTTCCTTGCCGTACTGGGTTCACGAGGGTCATGCTTAGGAATTGCTGTTCTCGGAGGGTTTAAGTTAAAGGGCCAACTGGGGCTTTTTGTTGTTGATGAGTTTGCTTGTCTTTTCTCACGAATTCACTCTCTCAATGCGTGCGCTGCCATGTCTGAGAACAGCATCCGTACCTGAGCATGTGCAAGCCATGGCCGGAAAAAAATCTTTGCGGCTGCACGATGGGCCAACGCTTGTGGAGGAGCAGCAATCAGGCTTGCACACCTACACTTGCCATGTGCAGGAGTGGCAGCGTGCAATCATCTCGTTACAGGCCATGTGCGCGAATATGCCAAGCTGGTGATGGCGGCGGAGCACACACGGCCCGACATCATCACGCGTGCAGTAACTGAAGCAGAATCACCACAACTTGTCCTTCAAGCTATCAGACAGGAGACTTCTAACCCCCATTTGAATTTGATTTCCATTGCCGCTGCTTTCACCCGCCTCGGCCACTTGCATGCGCAGATAACCCCACAACTTGGCGAAGATGCTTGTTTTATGGGCTTGAAGGCCATGGCGGCTGCGAAGCTGCGAATTGCAATACGCAAGGGCGATACCTCCCACCATCGTGCATGCGCCAGTATGCTTTGGGCGTTGGCAAAGCTGCATGACAGGCTACCAATGGCGTCACTGAAGCCAGTTTTGCTTGATGCTGTGAAGTTGTCGGCACCCTGCATGGATCATCAGCAGATTGTTAATGTCGCTTGGGCAAGTGCCGCCATGCATTTGAGCAAGCCAGAACTGGAAGACTTGTTTACGACAGTCTTGCCCAGGTTGGCCCATCTTGTTCCATCAATGAATTGTCAAGATGTGTCAAACTCAATTTGGTGCGTCGCAAAGATGAGAGATGATTTGCCAGGGCTGCTTGACTTGCTGCCGCAGCTAGCCGCACGGGTAAAGGCAGTGGTCAGGGAGATGGAAGGTCAAAACATATCTAATATTGTGTGGTCTGCTGCTGAGTTACGTCAGGTGTCGACGGAGCTTTTTCCACTTATAAACATTTTGACAGAAAGACTGGTAGAGGTATACACGATGCACAACAAGACTGTCAGCATGATGCCGCAGGTTGTCTCCAATACTGTCTGGGCAGTTGCCAAGCTGAAGGAATATGTACCTCCTCCGGCATCACACGTCGAATCTCTGGCCCAGATGGCAGCTGAGATGGGGGACGTATCTTACACTGCCCAGCAGTGTGCGAATGTAGTCTGGGCATTCGGAAAGCTGGAGCTGAGTATGCAAGCAATTTCTCCGCTGATGCGAAAGCTTTGTGAACGTGCACTACGGATAGCGCCAGAGTTTCAATCAGATCCGCAGAATATCTCCAACTTCTGCTGGGGCTTGGCAAACACTGGGTGGAAGGCAGCTGCGTCCACGAAACCTCCCTGAGACATATCGGTGTAAGCTTGCAGAGAGTGCCCCTAGTTCAAGACATTTCCCCTGCTTATCTTCGCAGCAAGATGATACAGCGCGATTGTTTACATAAGCAAGCTATATGCAATGTAATATCGTCTAAAGCTCCGGCCCCAGTTGCTGCTCCTTTCTCTGGAGGATGCTGCTGCCCTGGATACCCTCACCAAAGCCATGATGAAGGCAGTGCGTGGCAAGCAGGGGAAGATGGTGCAGCTGGAGCTTTCTTCCCTCGTGTGGGCTCATGCGAAGCTGGGGGTCACAGGACTGGACATGAAAGTAATTGCAATTGAGCTTGGCATGTCCACCTGTCTACAGTGCCTTGGGCCTTGAGCCTGTTGGGCTACGCGCACCTGCATGCACGCATTTGCATGCGCGCATGCACGCGAACACATGACAGGCTGAACGGCAGGTTAAACTTCCGTCCGATGTGAACCACAAAGAACCGTTGTGCCAAACTTGCATTACATTAGCGTGCTGTGTGAAGATTTTCCAGATGCGATCTGGCCGGACTTCGGACATCCGCGCATGCAAGACGCGCTACAGCACGCCGACAGCAAGCCGACATCTGATGCTGATGCCCTGCAAGTGATCGTTGTCAGGTGTCTTGCAGCTTAGGCACTTATGTCGCGTCTCGAAGGGGACCTACACCATGCTGGACGCAGCTGTTGTGCCCAGCCATGCTCAGCTTTGTGTAGCGGTATCGTAGGCTGCTAGGTGCTTCCAAACGTTATCAGAGTCATGCGCATGATGGATGAGCCTGAGGGGTTCAATTCCTGATGTGTTGCCGCACGCTGCGTCGCTGCGTGAACTTGATTTTGCTCCACCCACAATGATTGTGAAGCATAAGACATGCATTATCGTTCTGCAGCAGCTGCGTACGTGTGAAGGACACAAGAGCTTCTTGACAGATGCTGCTTCAAAACTGCAGCCGGAGCTGCCCACGATGAAAGACTGGGGTATTTGTGCCCTTTCCTGGTCGTTTGAGTCGCAGCCCCAGTCAAGTCAGGGCGCTTGGAGGGATGATGAGACCACTCTGCCTAGTGGTTATTTGCTGAGCCATGACTCAGGACACTCGATGCTGATGACAGGTAGCTCGTACTGCATGTGAATTCTGTCTGTCTCGATTCTTTCGGTGATTCCTCACACTAAGGCCCGGCATCGGGCGCTAGGAGGTTTACATTCGTACCCCAAACACCCTATTTAGGCTGGTTTTTAGGTACCTAGTTCCATATTCGTACTACAAATGGACCCTCTGGGTTAAGGGTAAAAACACAAGGCCCCACACGGCACATGCCAACCCAGCCGCCCGCCCACGTGCACCCAGGTATGTGAACTTTCGGTCGGCTCTTCGCACGGAGGTGCAGCGCAGGGGCTTCTCCGCCGATGAGGTGGAGTACAGCAAGCTCGGCCCGGACAAGTTTGCAGGACGCCCTCAAAGCAAAAGCAAAGTCTCCGAACCGTAAGACCCCTGATTCTCTCTGCTCCTCCTGAGCCTTGGACCCCATTATGAACGCCCAAACGCCCTAAGCCATAGCAAGCAACCCGTTTAGGGCTTAGGGTTTAGGGTCCTCAAACCGGACCCTCCAAGTGTCCACGACCAGTGAGCGGACAAACGGATGGCAACGCGGCTTTGCGACCTGGCGTGCGGACTGGCGAATGCTTCAACGTACCAGAAGCCTCCAAAATCTCAATATATGCGGTATTATTGAAGTAAGATGTTTGAAGATCCTTTTCTGGTTAAGGGCATATTTCCTGGCCCCGAAGCTGTTAGAGCGCAAGCATTCTAGGGCATGCGGAGCATGAGCAAGGACCGCCAAAAGCAGAGCCAATCATACACCCTAAGCCCTAAACCCCAAACCCCTATAGCCTCCAATCCTAGACTGGACCCCAAAGCCCCAAACCCTAAAACCCCTGCCACAATCTAAACCTTAAACTAGCCCCAAAGCCCCTCAGGGTTTGGCGTTGCGGGTGCCCACAGCCAAAACCTCAGACCCTACAAACCTTGAACCTCACCACGGTGTAGGAAGCCATCGCTTCACACAATTTTGTGTCGCAGCTTGCTGTCGAGCTCAGCAAGGCTGTTGCGATGCGTAGTCAAGCCCCCTAAGCCCGAGAACCAAACCCCAAACCCCCCAAGACCTATAGACGCCTAAATCAACCTGAACACCCTAGACCGAGAAGATTGACATCCTGAAGAAATCAAATTAGCCTGAACATAAGAAACCTCAAACCCTGGGTCTAGGGCTTGGGGCTTAGGATACTTGGTCCATCCCTTAAATCCTGCAACCTGTAGATGTCTGACAGAGGCTGGGCACCTTAGACACCTAGCTTGAACTTGCCAGTGCAGCATCCAAATGCAGCAGCTGATTAGCAAGCAGCGTGCTTCGTTTCTGTAGAGCTCATCGCTCTGGCCCAGTGGTGAGGGAAGAGAAATACAACGCGCTGAGAACCGCACAGTTGGAGCAAAGCCTGACTCGCCTGTGAGCTAGACACCGAAGTTCAGAATACAGTTGCCTAGGTCACTAGAACCCTAAACTCTAAACCCTAAACCCGTTCCCAGGGCAGCATACGGGCAATGCTTTAGGCTCCTGAATTCCTCTTCCCTCGCCGGGTTGCCACGTGTAGGAAGCCACTGCTTCATTTTAATTGTCATGCTCTGGGACGTGCGAGGTTCTGACCATGCAAGGTCAGATGCACCCCAGCTTGCGAAGGAAAACTGGGAAAGTGTAGGGGTCTATTTGGGCAAATTGCAGCTGCATTGTGTTTAACGGGGTTACAAGGGCACAATATTGCCGGTGATTTAAGGTTCAAGGTTTAGGGTTTATGTTCTGAAATTTAGGGTTTAGGGTTTGGGCTGCTTAGACCGACTATCACTAGACCTGTCAGTGTGGATGACTGGTAGGTCGAAGACTGATCCCAGGGGATCCAGGTACTTTGAGTGGGGATGCTTGCGTCCCAAAGTCGTCACTGAAATAGACCTGAACCCTGTACTTCAAAGTTCGGGGTTTGACTTAGGCTGTTTAGGGTTCAGGGTCTCGAGACACACCCGACACATCCTAAGCCCTGTTTCGGTCTAAGTTTCTGCTCTAAACCCCCAACACCTGAACCCCGAACCCTAAGCTGGGTACATGGATCCTTGGGGGGCAGCGGAACAGGCCCCTCAGCTCCGCTTCCCCAGACCCCCAACACATTTTTTCTGCGTTTAGTCCAAGCCCTGTTAACCCTATAAGCATTTATGCCCCGCAACCCCAAACAACATCTCTGCACTTTGAACCCTCCAAGCTTTTTCGAGCCCAAGTCCTGCTATATAAACCCTCTAAGCACTCAAGACATAGGGTTTAGGGCCTATAGGGTTTAGGGTTTAGGGTTTAGGGTTTAGGGTTTAGGGTTTAGGGTTTAAGGTTCGGAGTGAGAGAAGGTCAGCGAGATCTGGCGCGCCCACGATGCCGAGGGGCGCGGCTTCCTGCTGCGGGAGGAGCTGTCGAGCCTCCTCAGGGAGCTGCGAGACAAGGACCCCTGTTTAGGGTTGAGGGTCTAGGGTTTAGGGTTTAGGGTTTAGGGATCAGGGTTTAGGGTTTAGGGGAGGTATGAGGGTATCAGGGTTTAGGGTTGAGAGGGCGTTCCCAAGTCTAAATTCCTCAAACGGGTTTTCGTGTTTGTGGTTGTTGGGCAGTATAGATAGGGCTTTAGGGTTTGAGGCTTTGCGGGCCTTAGGGTCTAGTTTCGGTGTTTGAGATGTCGGGCCCAGGGCATAGCCGGGTTGAGGGCCTAGGACTTAGGATTTAGGGCTTTGGGGGTTTAGGGTTTAGGATTTAGGGTTCGGGACTCAGGTCATTGCGATCGTCGGGTTTAGTGTTTCAGGGCTCGAGCCCGGAACTTTGGGGCCCAAGTATGTAAGGATAAGGTGCATGGAACACATGGACCCTTAAAGGAAGCCCTGAACACTGAATCCGCCAGCCCAAGCCCAGACAGCCCCATAGTTAGTTAGGCTCAAATTGCGGTACTCAGAATAGGGTATTCTTGGGCTTCAAGGCGGTGCCTGCACAGTGACGTATCGGGGACGATCTCCTAGTGAAGTTTGCGACTACTGCTGCTGCATCTTTTGCTGCATGCACCACGGAGCCAGGATTCCAGCCAAGCCCCTAAACCCTAAACCCTAAACCCTAAACCCTAAACCCTAAACCCTAAACCCTAAACCCTAAACCCTAAACCCTAAACCCTAAACCCTAAACCCTAAACCCTAACCCTAAAGCCCAAAATCAGCCCCAAACTCCTACACCCCCACACCCTCTCCGGCTAGGTGGGCCCTTGGGATGCTCCATATGTTCCCTCATTGGGTTTAAGAGCATCGTATTTCAGGTATATTTTCTAGGGCCCAGAGTAGGCCCTTGTTCCTTTTTTTGTGGTTTGGGTTCCCTTGTAAAACACCTTATTTTAACCCAAAAGGGGCGCCTTTCTTGTTCCTAGCTTACTCCTGCGTCACCCTAAACCCCAAACCCTGAACCCTAAACCTCAAACCCTACACCCTAAACCCCAAACCCTAAACCCTAAACCCTAATCCCTGAGGGGGTTTCTAAGGGCCATACTGCCAGGAGTTGGGCGACCGCGCTGCCCCGCCAGTGTCGGACGCGGCGCTGCACCGATGTGCTGAGGCCCTGGGCCTGGAGGCAGGGTTTAGGGTTTAGGGTTTTGGGTTTTGGGTTTAGGGTTATATGATTTAGGGGTTGGCTGGACGGTTTTGGGAAACATCCCTAGAGGGTAGTGGGTCCTGTTTGTCAGGCTGAGTTTCGGGCTGGGTTTAGGACTTGGGGCTTTCATGGTGTGCGATTTCGGGTAGTTTTGGGAGTTTAGGCTTAAGGTTAGGCTCTCTCGGTTTTTGTGTTCGGTTTTGGGGGCGTTTGGTATCTGCGGATTCTGTGAGTTGCCTGGTTCAGGTTTAGGTAGGCCCTTGGGCCGTGTTGTATTTCCCCTTGTTGGGTTTAAGAAGATCATTTTCAGGAATATTGCCCTAAACCCTAAACCTTAAACCCTAAACCCTAAACCTTAAAGGGGTTTAACGGCCATCCTAGTTCGGGTTTGGAAGGGTAGAACTATACGTCTTTGTAACAAGCTTGGCGTTATGCCTTGCACTGTGTCTGTTGAAGTATCTTGCTAGCACGTGATTGGAATCCGGCATGTATATGTAGTCTCCATCACCTTTCAAGGACTGTATTAAAGGTACCTAGCTTCCTATCACGAACCAGAAATAGGCACGGTGTGGGC